GGTTACACATGCGTGCAAAAGAAGCAACTATTAACAATGCAGCATATCTGCCATGCTAACATGGAAAATGATATTTTATGATATTTATGGATACTATTAATTAATAGCAAGTTGCATCAGGCAGCAAAATGATAAATATGAGCTTACTTCGGTATAAATCGACCCGACTACAAATGTGAATTGATAAAAGCCCACTTTATCATTAATATTTTCGGACAGTTTTTTCATTTAGATTGAGTATGTGGTACTCTAATTCTATCGAGCTCACATTCGTCTTACAGCTTTAATCTGAATCGATTCAAAGCTGCAGGCTCATGAGGTACAAAATATAAAGAAAATCACTTGTTTATTAGAGACTACATGTAAATTATTTTAAGAATCTCAACCTTCTGGACTTGTATCATCAAAATGGCAGGTGAGTCGGCAGAAGAAGAAAATAATGTACAAAAGTACGCATTGTCTGTGTGCTATGAGAGGCATTATGATGCTATAGTTTTATATTATCATTAACTAAAAAAACGAGCTAAAGAAAGCAAATCTATGTTAAAAGAATGAACTAAATTAGACACTTAAACGCTGAGATTTCGCTTAATATTTTGACTTAATATTGGTTAAGTATTTCATTAAATAAATAATAAAATTCATGGCCAGTTTTTATGTTACATGGCTAAGTGTTTTATAATAGGTAATTAACAAGTTTATCTCTTCATTTTAAGCTGCCAGACAGTCTGACTTGAGAAAAAATATACTATGCCAGTTCATTCACACAACTTTTCTGCATACCTATTTCTCTAAATCCAACAAGTCTAGCTTAAAGTATATATTATGTTATCTTTGAGCGAAGACTGTTTTGAAACAAAAATTACGGCACGCAGCATCAATACTTCATAGACATATGCTAATTTACGATTTGATAATTTTCCTTTAATTATGCCAAATACCAAAGTCTTCCTAAACATGTGGGGAGCAGATTTGGCCAGCCAGTAAAGCAGATCACTTGGCCTGAAAAACAATTATTGAGTTATTTACTCATTTATAAATTCTTACCCAGTCTTCCCGCGCAAGAGCAGATACAAGAATAATATTTTGAATTATGATGCCTCGGCTGAATAAATTCTACATATCTGAGCCTAAAGTTAATGTTTAAGTTATGCATGCACATATAGGCGTGAATATAAATATACTATGTTGTAAAAGTGAATTATGAAAACCGTGTCCTTGCGTTATTTGTCCATTACATATGTACACTTCGACAGGTAATTATAAAAGTTCATAAGCCAGTGCAATTTTTTTGCCAATTCGAAACTAACTTTTTTCAACCCATATTGGTGCTTTCCTCATAAAGGTTTGGCCGATGCATATGACTAAACATTTTAGCTAAAATCAGCAATGCTTGAATTTAGTATGTTACTTATATCATTTTGGTGATATCTTTGTAATTAAGGGCGGTTACACCCTAATTGTAGCCATCTTACTCCTTTACTGCGCGACGAGAAAGTGAAAAAGCGACTGGCTTATTGAACCTTTTTAGGTTTCGGCCCTCAAGCCTTGCGCCCTAATTGATATCCTGTTCGCAAAGTACTTAAATAGTTATCATGTAGGGCTCGTTCACCTTTTGTAATCTCTTAGAGACTACTAGATATTTAGAACTGTATGCAAATAATGCTAGGATATAATACGTTGAAGATAAGAGTTTATTCGGTCTCTCTTCGAAAAGCCACTAAAGTGACACAACTCGACCTTGGCTTAGAGGAACTCTGTGCCTTTTATCGTATACCTTATGCATAGCCTGAATTCTCCATCGCTCACCCATAAGATGCTATAGCAGAATAAGACTCGCACTTAACTGCATTGCCTACCTCGTTAACATGATGGCTGACGAAGTAAAAATACTAATATTCTACACATTTTAGTCGCCTTTATGAGTTTGGCTTTGAAAGATTTTACTTCGTCTACGTAGCTTATGGAATATTGTATCCCATATTATTGGATCATTTTTCTACTCTCTCCAAGAAACCTAAGTGTTATTATGCGCCACCTTGCAAATGGAAGGTTATGACGTCGGTATACCTTTCATTTAATTTAAAGAGGTGAATGGAAGGGATTCGTAAGTTCGTCAAAGAGTGTTGCCTTGAAGCTGTGATTGGAGATTTATGCGATCAATTCCTCGGCTCACATTATCTGGACATCGATGAAGTTTTGCTGAGCTTTTGTCCGTCATGTGACGGGCAATGTCAGAGTAGGACACCATTCCCTACGCTAATTGACTAAAACACGAAGAAAAGGAAGATGGACAAAGCTAGGCTGTAGGAGTTAGGTATGATTTTAGCCGCCAAACTCTCTTATATTTGTGCTTGATGAATTATCGTTAAACATGCTGTCCTTCTAGGACAGTGTTGGATGAAAGCTCAGATAGGATTCATCGGAATCGCGGGACGGTAAACCAAGAAGTTAAAAGCACAAATCTACAGACACACCTCTGAGGCAATATCATTTCGACTTGCGGGGAGACAAACTTACAAATCCACTCCACTCGCCTCCTCAAACGAAATGTAATGTACTCCAATATAATATATTAAGGGATTAATCAAACCCAGTTTTTCTACATATCTAGGAATACTATGACAACTCGGTGGTTTGTGGCACGAGAGAAAGTAAGGCGATCTTCTTGATCAGTTCGCAACAAAATTCTTAACTTTGAACCTTAACCCAAATAACGTAGATTTCTTTTGGGGCTAAGCTTAAACAAAGTTGAGGTCTCTTTAAACCTGATTTGACTGAGGGCACATATTTACTCAATTTCTTCAATTGCTCGTTGTGGAAAGTTGAAGAGTAAAGGGTCTGCCTATTTGCCTGCTTGTCCGATAGTCTTTGTCTTCCTATCCGTATAAAAGTGTACCATGAATGTCCATACATGTGTCACCAAGTCTGATAAAGTTTTGCTTAGCCACCATTCCTTTAGCCTATCAGAATATTTGCTCTCCTCCTTGCTAGCCTGACAAATCCGTTCTTCTTCGTTTTTGCCATTTCAGCTACACCTCAATGGCCGTCCTGTTGATTTGCTGGAAGAGGCCAAATTGTCTGTTGGTCTGACCGAATGCCGGCACCACGCTTGCCACACTCAACCGGCCGCTATCTGTCAGGATCCGGGCCGATGCTATCCTCGAGGTGGCAAGTTTACCTGTTCCTGTCCACTCGGACAACAGGGCGAGCATTGCAGAACAAGTGGGTTCTCAACAAAATCACACCACAATATCCAGTGGTGGGGTATCGCGTCGGAAAGGGGAATTCATTGAACAGCATGCCGCCTCATATGGACAGATATTGTCCTTATCTGAGACGGATCATTTCAATTTTATTAGTCCCACCACCTAAATCCCGATTGCTAATGCCATCTCTAAAAAGGCTTTGATTCTACTTAGTAGGTTTTATAAGTAAGTAATTATGTTAG